GGAATGATTATTAGGGTTACAAAGGTTGTTTGCATGCAATGTTCATTTCATTTCCATGCGTGTCATATTCTGTAATTTATATATCTAATACTTGACAATTTACAACTTTTTTCTCAAATTGGCCTTTAAGAAAATAATTTCACTTCAGTTTGACTGAACTCTGCCCTTAAACGTATCTGACTTATTTCATTAACTAAAACTTGACGTCAAAGATACTTGAGATTCAAAATATGAAACTATAAATGAAAGCAAAACTCTTCAATGTAAATAGTAACAATTTGTAAATAATTCTCGAATTACACTATACTTACACTTTAATAATCCTCTTGTGCCCTTTTCGTCTTAAATCTTTTGTTTAGTATGATCTTGGTTCACTCATATCTCTTTATCACTCATTTCAGTCTTATGCCTGCTTTTCATCCTTAAATGCGTTATTTTGTTATCATACAAATACTCTATACTGTCAAGCTGTAGGAAATAAGAAAAAGAGACAAAACTTTTGATAAACAGTTCTTATGCGTTAAGCATTGGTAATATCGAAACTATGTCCATTGTAATTCTTATGACTGAGAGAAACGCGGACCGAATTCTTTGCTTGCATTTTGCACACAATTTCTTACTGGTGGAGTCCAACTATACCCATCTTACACGTGGCTTGCAGTATCGGGTTGAATAGCCAAGCACGCAATTTTAATTTCAAAGACTCTTTAAATATGGCATAGTTAATTTTTGTCATCAGGTATAGGCCTATATGAGATATCTTCAGTTAACTGAAAATTGAACTGTATGTGCGTTCAAAATCACGCAAAACATGGAAAGGACAGTCCATACTGTGGGACTTAATTGGCTGCCAAATCTATTAAATGGGGTCGGGATAACCTATGAAATATTAGGCCTTATCATAATGAATCACTGCAATAATTCCCCGACTGTTATTCCAAACCTTTAGTTTCAGTAAAATAGTCTGTCTCGTATAAAAAAGAAACAACACATACACCGCTTGATGAAATGAATGTTAACACATAAATTGTGATGAGTTATTTTGCTAATGAACAAAAAATCAAACAAAAGGGTCAGCCATATCGAGCCATGTTCGAACAGATCCTCTTTCGGTGTGGTCATTTATGTAACGTTCATTTGTCTTTACGATCAGTGCTCGTTTCAACATTGAATAGCAGAGGGGGACAGAGATTTTGTCCCGTCAAGGTCGTGTATATCAACACGCGTCCTTTGCTCACGTGGCAAAGCGCTGGTCATAATTCACAAGGATATCACTGTATTCGTACGGAGACGTGAAGAGTCCCTTGCGGCTGTCGGATCATATGGCATTCGCACGGGGCGCACTTCACATGAAATTAATTAAAGTGGGCCGTGTTGGTTGTCATTATGAATATTGCTAGAGTGGTGCCCGCCAGCGCATTTTTTCTTGAAGGATATGCATTGTATTACGCGTTGCTACGTGGTGGCCATGATAAATGCATGCAATAACCTTCGTATTATTAGATGCACTCGGATGCCCCTTGCCCAAGCGAGAAGAAGAACTGTCGCCCCGTAAGAACGTGCCTACCTGTTCTGTCTACTCAGAACTGACAACTGAGTGTTACATTCTAACAGTCTTTATCGGCAATAACCTGGAGTTGTGCTATGCCATCATAAACATTTTGGATTATAAGATTAGTCTCCTTACGGGAAGTTTTTAAATAAATGAGTTCAACAAGAAGCTCAGAACAAATGTTTACTTCAGTTATGAAATCCCATTCATTGTAAAGGGAGCAAAATTACAGCGACGACAAAGTTTTCATTCATCGTAATTGAATGGTACGTTGGTAATACATCCATGTAGGCGATGTAAATTTTGTTTAGAGTAGCATCCAAGAAACCAACGTGAACTTCAAATCACGACACCAGTTATCCTGCTAAGATCTCCCTCACGAGTTCCACTTCATTATTATCCAAGGTGGACACTGACGAGGAAGATATTAAGAACGTCTCCTGCAGAGATCTGCATGTGTAAGACTCCTTTAAGTCTGGCTGAGCACAACTCAAGCTTGTTTATGCGACTCCTTCCCTCCCCCGCAAACAGGCCTCTAAACATTTATATACACACTATACTTTGAATGGTTGCTGAGCGAGAGGTGCAAATAGGCCTATAATGAACCTGCATGGCCGGGAATCCCCCCCTTATATTACACAGTGTTTCGCCCAAGATTTGCCATGATTGTGTGGGTGTGTGTGTGGGGGGGGGTTCGGACCGAAGCCCCCTCCCCCCTAAAAAATGGCTCATGAAGCCCCTCGCCTTCCTCACTCTCTTTGCGCCAAGAGGGACTGGAATGTACGGCTGTATCAGAAGATATCTAAAGATGTTGGATAACTTAGGCCATCTTATGTCTTCGTTTTTCAGAATGTGTTTTTAATATAAAACAGAAACACTAGGCCTATTTGAGGGCTCAAGCTCCCGTTTGGTGCGCTTCGCAAAACTATCGTGTGCTTAACTCAGACGAAGAGGTATATTCAGCAATTACATGTGAATGTATAGCACTGGCCTGTAGATATCAGGCCTAAACAAAATGTATTCAACTGCGCAACACTATTTCAATGATATCTTTATCAGTTAATACCATTCGTTCAATTTGTATACCAAACACTCTAGAATGTACCATAGTTTCTCCCATTCATTTCTTTAAACTCCGTATGAAATATTTGGTCAACACCTCCTTAGTTGCCAAACACCATTTCCAGCCTGCTGAATATTCCGGGCACCGAAAGGCCACGGCGGGAGGAAGAGGTGTGATAAGGCCTCTTGATGGAATTGATATCAAATCCAAAGTGCCCAGATAATTAGAAGGTGCTCCGACCGAACGGGGTCCATAAAAAAAGGCCGCCATCCCGCGTGTTCCCAGTAAACCCTTATGTCTATGCATTCTGCGTATTACTTTTGGCAAAAAAAAATAATATGCTTGTACTTCTTCACACAGTAAAAATGTTAAGATTGATGCCGTCGCTGTGTCAAAAGGGAAGATCATAAGCGATAAAAGAAGCAAACTGTTCTGTTCAGTCTGTAAGAAGTCTCTTAATCAAACAATACAAAACAAGACAAAGCAAAACTGACAGTGATCAAGCTCTACGGAGGTTTGTCTGATTTGATTAAAGGTAAGATGCATAGCAGAATGCGTTTCGCCGTAAACGTAGCGAGGCTTTAACATTTAAAGAACAGAGCTGGAGTCGCAGATTCAGAGGAAGGTTTGGGGTCACTATCCACCTCACCACTCAATGCCATTTTTGGTTTTTAGGAAGCTACGTCTCAAGGTTAGTGGACCCCACTAAAAGGAACAAACCATGTAGGATCTCATTTTGCATGTACGGTTAAGGAAAAACAAGGGGATTGACCCCGAACCCCGTCTGCAAAAACATTTCCCAAAATTCCAACTTTCCCCCTCAGTAAAAATCCTGGATCCAATTAATTCTGGAAAGGCATAAAATGAAAGAAGCTGCACAGTTTCACCCAAAAAAGCAAACCCCAATGTTTAAAAACGTTTGAAATTTGAACGGGCCTAGATCGTTAAATTTCTTCTCGCAGGAAAAGAGGGACCGAGTCAGACTCAATATTGCCGAACCTTGGTCATGATTATTCCTCGCCGATGATATTATCCTGCCACCGTAAACATCTAAACTGGACTTGAAAATACCAGATTTTCCAAGAAATTCGCTCGTGTGAATTGCCAGAGAGCCTGAATTTCGGATTTTCAACCTCGTACCTTCAGCTTTCCTGTTGAGGTTTGTTTGTTTGATTGCTTTTGTTTTGGTCTGATGTTTCTTGGATTTTAAGGGAGCTATCAGGCGAGCGGGAAGGAGGCGGTACATGTATTTGTGGCGTTCAAGGCCCGACAGCTAGTTGGAAGCTCTTGGTAAATATGTCGATAAGCCCAAGCCTTTGCGATGCAGATACTTAATGTAGTTGAGAAGATTCATCAAATAATACTGCTGCTAACCCTGTCTTCAAGCGCTATCTTATGATCTACAACGGGTTCTTTTTGGTTTGATGTCGGCAGCTGTGTATATATAACGGCGGTAAAAGTGTCCCTGTTAAATCTACCTTCAGACAAACCCTCGCCGACTCGATTTCCCGCGTCTAGTTTTTAATAATATGAGCAAGCTAGCCTTCGTCTCGGTTCTTCTTATGGGATTTAATAATTGACGACATCGGCCGTTTCACGAACACCTTGAAAACACCTGCGGCAAACTTTGACGTACTTGGATTGAAGGGTTATGTAGGGGTAAAAGATGGACAAAATCATTTCGGTCTTCCTTTCCGACTCTTATTTCTTGAGATTTCAAAAACTATGAACTCTTTGTCCCATTAATCAACCAACGTATAATTCTAACTGTTTTGGGGGTTTGTTTTCAGAACAAAACTCCATGAATTTCTGTGTTGCATAGCTGACTTTAAACCGTGATAAGATTCAAGTGACGTCATTGCTTTAGCTGGGAGACGATTGGTTTCGAAGCCAGGGGATCGTGTTTTTTCATACTGAATATAAAAATGATTGTAGAAACGCTCTGTACATGTCAGTTAACGACGCGAGTCAGTGGAGTGTTACGTTATTTTTACTCTGCTTATGACATCGAAATTCAAACACTAATGTTTGGCTTGGCCTATCGCTTTAAGGAACGTCACCGTCTGGAACTATCGATGTTATTTCAAGAACACATCTTTAAAGTTCTGAGTCCTGATAAGAACTACAATTATACAATTAGTCTTAGTTCAGTATTTGGGGGCCTGCAATGGCAGAGGTATAAGAACAGGGAAATTCATAGGAAAACTCCAATGTGGGACTCACGAAAAAAAGGGGCTGCAAACTTAAAGAGAAATTGTACTAGATATTATTTGGAACTCTCGGTTTGTCTACCTTAAACCGAGAGTTCCCAAACTTCAGGGTATATACCAACACGAAATGGAAGAGAATTTAGCTTAACGTGTTTGCTTGTATGGATGGACTTACCAGAATTCTACCAAACCGACTCTGGGCTGACAAGAGTCTGGTGGCCCAATCCTTAGCCGCTTCTATGGAGTGAATCTCGGCCTCGGCGTTCTTCTCCAGCAAGTTTATGGGGCAGATGCCGGCGCAGCAGCCCGACCCATCGGGCCCTGCCACGTGGTGCCGCCGGCGGTTCAGGCAGGGTAGCCTGGTGATAAACCGAACCAAAAACACCAGGCCGGTGCCAACGGCCAAGGTGACTAAGCTGGAGGCTAGGAACAGCCACCAGTACCGCCCGGTACACACCACGTCTTCACACTCGGGGCCGTAGCAACGCTTGATCGAATGATTCAACATATTTAATACTTCCACACCGTCCCTCTTGATGACCACAGACACAAGAAACAGTGACGGCGAAGCAACCCCTAAATACTTTGGCAAGTCACCAACTCTAGCTTTTCGCTACAGCATTAAGGCCTAGAATTGCATGCCATCATGACTGTCTGGTTTTTTTTTCGGAACCAGAGTAAGCACTGCCGTGTGAGCGGATTTATGCAGTGTTACTTTGTTAGCGCTTTAGCTACAGAATAATGAATGCGTTCTTCTGATGCAAATTCTGGCTCAGGGTCGAACTCTGTTTAGTCCTTGTACAGCTTTCCCACACGAATATGTTCCACAGCAATTTTTTTTTTCCATCAAAAGGCAAGTCCGACTTAAAGCTCGTGGAATTTCCTTTCTGACGAAGACACGCGCAGGCTCAGACCTGCGCAGATAAATCACCGAGTTGTCAAAATCTGATCCAGGTATAAGAGAATATTCCACAGACTTGCGCGCTGGCGGAGTAGCTGCGAATCACCCCCTGCAAAATTTTACAGCAAAAACACAACATGAGCCCTCATGCACTCAAAGTGGATCTACCGCGCCGTATGAACAAATCTGTCATCGAACCAAATATTTCCCTTTCGTGTTATGATGACGAAGTCAACATTCCATTATCTCGTCTCCCCTTTTTTCAGCTCGTATCCTGCGCCGATCGAGTGAAAGGATCAAACCGATTCATCTGATCAGAGTCATTTTCCTGCTGGCAAGCGAGGGGAATGTGACTTGACCAGCTGTTGACCACGTCCGATGACCACTCGGCTAGCTCAACGTATCGGCCGCAATCGTTTGGTGTCGACAGCCCCAGCTGTAAAGCTCATGGTCGTTCAGAAGTCACGGTGCATTGTGGCGCTGGTTCCATATTGACCAAACATTTTTAATGCGGAATACAATTGGTTGCTGGCAGCCAGGCAACTGAAGGCGCCGCACACAACCGGTCCAGATCAGTCGTAACGCGTCTAGTGCGCAAATGCACACATGCATGCAGTCAGGTTTTAGATAATGAAATTACTAATAATCGGCTTAGATTTATGAGTCATATCAACACTTTATATGGTCGCTTTAACCAAGGCTGAGATAAGCGAAGCATTGTGAACCTTATCCTTTCAAATGTTCCGGATTAACATATTATCAGTAAAATTGTATGCTATTTTTGTGCAGGCAAAGTTAGTGACGTCTGTTTCAACAAACGCAAAAATCAATTGTTTGGTGTTCTTACTACATATTACTACGATTTAGAGATACTAAGAAATTAATGTTAACTATTTCAGAAGTTATCTTTTCCTACCTCCATGGAATGATGTGTTCCTCTTCCATAATTAACCATTTTTTTCTAATTGCTAGAATTATTGGAGGCAGATTATCAGACTCTTTCAAACTCGTATTGTGGGTGTAATTCATATTCGCTCATTATCAATAGAATCGTTTAAAGGTCGATATTATTGAAGACTTTCCATATGATAACGTGAGGAGTTTGTTTGTTTGTTTGTTTGTTTTTCGTTGTTAGGCCTCCCCCTTCTATGGGGATCCTGATGGTGTGTTTTCCCATATCATCCTGTCGTGGGAGGACGTCTAAAATCGCGTGCTGCTCCTTGTGTCTGTGATAATTTTAAAAGGAAGCGCAAAAACGTGACAAAATTATATAGAATTCAAGCTTTGGTATACTAAAAGCTAACTATTATTACATTTATTATTTGACCACGCTATGGTCTTGTCAACTCGCATACCAGAACCCAAACTCCCTTAAAAGGTATTTTATATGAACTGGTATAATACACTCAAGAAGTAAAACACAACGAGAAAAGACTTTCCACAGGGAAGGGGTAGCAATATCAGCGTGAAACAGTCGACGGGCCATCTTGATTTCTGTGTGGGTGTAAAATGTCTTTATCAATGCTTGAGCGATCAGTTTTGCTCCCTCACTCGCTCTAAAAGATAATGTGTTTTCATATCCTTTTTGAGAAGTATAGAGGGCGCTATAAAATAAAATAGAAGGGGTATTGAAAGTTTAATAAAGGCAGTCCAAAATGAGCAGACGTAGGCGTCGATTCTTTCAGCTTGAAAGAAATCGTCGCTGTAATGGTTATTGTTCTTGCCCTTAGGCTGAAAACATGCATGAACCTATCACTTCTCTAATACATTTCTACCGCTGCTATGAGCTTCCGAAGCGCTAAAAACAAACAAACAAACAAACAAACAAACAAACAAACAAACAAACAAACACCCCAGCACCCCCAACAACCCAACAAAAAAAAAAAAAAAATGGAGTTTCTTTCAAAGACTTGTAGAATTGCAAGGGGGACTTTCAACGGCTTTGCACTTGATTTTGGCGCCAAGCTCGACACTTTCCATGCAGAAATGATGTTTTCAAATTAAGGTCAACACAGCTTGCTATACTTTCCGTTTAACTAAGTGGAAGGCAAAAGCGAAACCAGCTAAGCTGTGGCAAGGCCAGCTGCTGACATTTATGGCCATCGTAAACAGGAAAAACAAATACATGTTATTTTATACCAATGAAGTATCCATGCATATTTTAAAAGAAACAATTAAAAAGAAATATAAAGATAAATTCATCGAAATAAATTGATAAAGCCTTGCACCATTCACTAAAACTATTAGATTTTTTTAACTAAAACTTTCAAGCAGAACCAGCAGTTCTGAAAAACAACAAAAGCATTTGGACCATTTTGCAATTGAAGTCTGTCGATTTTTCTCAATATTTTGCTGACGAAATGTCAGGGAATTGCATTTTGTTCTCTATTCCCGTAAATTTGATGCACCTTAACCTTCAAGACTGAATAAGTACTGCAAATAACCTGTCAAACAAATAAAAATTGTTTGAAATTAATTCCAGTAATACACCCCTTGTCGAACTCGTCAGAGGTATACATGTCAAAAGTCACACTTTGGACCCCAAATTTATAGAATGACCCAATTACAAAGGAAAGGGAAGGAGAGGGGGTGTTCTAACCGGGGTTCGTTTGAGCCCCCGACACCCCCCCGTGTGCGCCCTTGTTTCTATCTTACTATCAGAGTCTTCATTGTAGCTCAATCTGTAATTCATCCTTAATGGAACGCCAATTCCATTTTTTTAGCTTGCAGACAAAATCCTGGCTTATACGCACTGGCTAACGCTTTCATTGTTCCTTAAACAATGAGTTCTAAACATTAAAAATCAAATGCCATAAAAACAGGGATGGGAAAAGAATTGGGCTCCAAATTTATAGAATGATTCAATTCTCTGCTGTTTCAGTAATAACACAACCACAAAATGTAAGTCTTAGATATGCTTTTTATAGGCATTTCAAATGTACCAGAATGCTGGATTTGATTTGTCCATTATCTTTTCAGTTTCCCGGGGGAGCATGTCATGGGACCCCTTTTAGTCTGAGGATCAGCCCTCGGGTATCCCAAACCTATGGCGGCCCTGAAAGGACATAACATTCACGACTAGTCGTTAATATTTGTGCGACGTCTTGAATATTTGTACGACGTCGTGAATTTTTTCACGACTAGTGGTGAATATTTTTAGCGACGCCCTGAATATTTTTTCACGACAATGTCATGAATAATTTACTAGTCGCAAACCTTGTCGCGAATATTTTTCCAGTAACTTGAAGGGTTTGATATTTTCTCGACATGCGCTACAAAGGCCGTCCAAACGAAACAGGCTTCCAGAGCTACAGCAAGGTCTGTTGTCTGTGCGTCACCGCGTATTTCCAAGGTGGTGAAGACCTAGACCTAGCTCCGAAAGGAAAGCAAACCTTGTTTTTCTGAGCCATGTCGTTTCCCAATGCCCTTGTTTCTTTCTCAATGCACAGCTTCACTGTCCACTTGGCATTGCACTTAGACAACCATACATGACTACACCGCTGTACAATGTACATGCAGAATGATCAAGGTCATTAGGCGTGGCAGCGCTTATCATCATGTATTTGCCGTTTGTTATTAGCGCGCACTTTCCAAGCTAATGTAAAAATATTTGTGACAAGTGAAAAAAGCTCACGACATAGTGAAAATATTCATACGGAAGCGTATAAGGGCCACTTGCAAAATTTGTTTTCGAGATACTCGTATTTTTCCGAGATACTATAGGCCTAGTTATTTATCTCGCCGCGGCGAGTTGTTCATCTCGCTGCGGCGAATTAGCTAAAACTAGCTCAACTTGCTACATATGTCTGGACGTATTCTGGACACCAGACCCAATGATTCCGACTACTCTCCTAATCACGGATCCTGGGCCGTTTTCCAATACTCAACTTCGTCTCCGTCTCAGGCTTCGTTCCAAAAACCAATTCCCGATTGTGGGTATGAAGCGTTTGGGTTACTTTGGATTACTGTATTTTTTGGCTTTCTTACATCTTATTTTATGTTCTGTGGCACTATTAGACTGATTACTGCGCTTACAGCTTCAAAGTCAGCTAGTTTAAAAACAGTTGAAGCCTGAGACGGAGCCGAATTGAGTATTGGAAAACAGCCCTGTATCACCCAATGTCCACGTGACCAACACTCCTCCAGACTTTCGGGAATAGTCGAACTATTCCGAACTTTGAATGGTATTGGTAATGTTTGGGCATTTCCGGCCGCGTCTTTACCGAGAATACCGGTCGGAGTACACCATCCACTACAAAGTAGAATTATATATAGGCCTAAGCAGTTTCCTTAACGACGCCCATCAGTTGGGGGGAGCGGGTTGGCGTAGAGGTTCTTTCCTCGCTTTGCTCCAATGAGGCCTGGGTTCGAGTCCTGGCTTTAAGTGCATTTGGTTTCCAGTCCATACTCGCTCTCGTAGGTTTTCTCCGGGTACTCCGGGTTCCTCCTGCCTCTAAAACTGGACCTTCTGCCTAACTCTGTAATGTGATGCTGATTAATAAAGTGTATGAATAAACGTACAGTTATTGGCGCAAATAGCCTGAGTTGCTGAAGGCGCCATTAAAAAAAATGCCATGAGTTCACGCCTATTGCACGTTGCTGAGTCCTACGCATTAGTATATCACACGGAGCTATGGATTCTGAGAGTGACAGGAACCACCAAATTCGATCCACATATTCTGTTCGAGAAAGAATTCAAAGATTACTTCGGCCACAAATTCAACAATCTGTCTATTCCGGACACGAAGGACAATGTTCAGCTAGAGGAACTAAAAATCAAACTTGAAGCTGAAGATTTCGTCAAACCTGGTAATATCGAGTAATACCCATTCTGCGGACAGCTGGAACTCATACATGTAGGGCCTACTTGAAAAAAATAAAGGTAGCCCTTATCAAGAAAGTTGACGTAGACCGAGCCATCGATCAGAAGCAGAAGAACTCATCCACGAGAGAAAACAAAAAATGAAGATCGCCGACAACAGCAAAGCAAGCTGGCTGACTGTGTCACACTTCGAAAAAGATTCATCTTCGAAGCTCTCACCCGAGCAGCAGAAACGAGTCAAGGCAGCAGAAGAATCTGCTCTAAAGGAGATCGAGAACCGAAAACGTCGAGAGGCCCCACATGAATTAGGCCAAGATACCAATACGTCTACCATGGGTCCTGCTCATTAGTTTCTTTTTCAAGGTAAAGCCCCCGTGATTCTTTGTCATAGTTCATGTTGCACTGGCTCTTCCCATGCTTTCCAATAAATATAAAAGAATCAATATTTGCTCTCCTCTTGCTTCGTTTGTGTTATGTTGGGCATTAGAGTCAAACTACTTTTCACGCGGATAAGCGCAGCGAAGGAGCCCGAAAATACATTCTAAATAAATACGACCGAATAGATTAACACAGAATATGCTGACACGCGGCTGATGTGACGTCTTACAACAGCGTCACAACGTAGCCAATGAATATTTTCAAAAGAACCATTAAGCTGTTATCTTTACAATGTATCAAATGTGAAATGCTGGTGCTTTTATTTCTTCAGTTTCCTGAAAGACTGGGGATGGGACAAGCCAGACGTCGAAACCAAATTTCAGCATGTTCGATTGGTGTATAAAGACCTCACCGCCAAAACAGCAGTGGCAAACAACGGCCGTCCCGGACACCAATCAAATCAACGACTCACATAATAGAATTACAGGCGTTTTCAGAGGCCACCGGTCTTTTCAACCAGAAATTAACTCTAAACCTAATAAGCCAGTGGTCTCTGGTAACAACGATGCCCATACATGCGATTCCCTGCTCAGACCAAGAAACTGCAAAGACCTGGGAAAATCATTATCAATTTCTGTTTGACTTTTTTCTGTTGTCACGCGCTCGATGTTATCTTTTATCGTATTATAAGTTGTGACATGTCGACAAAGGACACACGATGACTGTTCAAGTTTTGGAACGCAGCATTTGCGTTAGTTCACGATGGCTACACGATACAAAACGATATTTACATGGACATTCTCTCATTTTTAATAGCTCAATGCTTATTCGTACGCGTAAGAAGTACAGTGCATGGGCGTTCATGAGGTTTACGCTGTATCGTGTATGTGAAAAGGACATGTGTGAATAGAAAAAGTGAAGGAATTAGTGGACTGAACTTGCCACTCTTCAGATTAAGTGTGGCCAAAGTTTATTTCATTCAAGATGCGCAATAAACGACTGAAATTTCAAAAACCTGTCCCATAGGGCCCTCTTTCATACGCAGCTCGCAGACGTTATGGAGCGCCCTCTACGGTACCTAACTGGTTAGGATGCTGAAGGCTTCACGCCGTTGAGAATTGTCAAGAAAAGTTGTAGTTTCCAGTTTTTCAATACACACAACATTTTGCCAACAATCTTAGGTAAACTGCATAATTCGTTTTTGCCTGATTTTGCTGTAAGAAACAGGCCTATTACTTCATCACCTGTTCGTGCATCAAACGAACCCAACACGCACTCTGCACTCCCAAATGAGCAATTTTCGTTGTCAAACCCAACGATAAAGGACCACAGAGATTTGAAAAACAAAACTAAATAAAAAACACCCCACGTTCAAACTGCGTTCAGATAAAGATACTGGTAATTGTATCATTTTTATTTGACGTGCACGATAACAATGACGACAATGATATTGTTGCCCTTCAGTATTGAAGTCTATCCGATAATAGACGCAATTAATCGATACTGGAAAACTGTTTAAAACAACAGTATAGAACGGTGTGTCGCGATCAAGACGAAACGATCGATATCAGGAAAGGTAGGCCTTGTTCTGTTTTACTGTATCCATCGATTAATATCTTTATCGATTTTTGTTGGTGGTGTGGCTATTATGTTGTGGAAATAGCGTAAGCACCTGCTGATGAATTGGCGAAACAATTAAACCGATGGGTCGTGGAACTGCATCATCCTTTTGCCCGCCGTAGGGTAATGCACATTTGAGAGAAAGAAAACCCTTCGAAATCACCGGAATTTTAAAACTTTTCAACATGACCTCCTCTGTGTGGAGGCTCGTGATGGTATGTGTCATCATGACCCTGGTGGTGCCATCGGAGGCTACGTGTCCTCAGGGATGGACCAGGCTTGGATTTAAGTGTACCCGTTTATTCTTGGAGCCGATGACTTGGAAGGTATTTGCAGTCTTGCTGGATGTATAACAATTAGTAATAATTGACAATTGCTTGAAACTGTTTCACTGCGTTTATGCTGATGACAACGCTCATAATCAAATAATATGACTCATGCTGTCAACTATATCTTCTTCCCTTAAGTCTATTGGGTAGATGTGTCTCTCCCCAATAACACTCTGGAGACTAGTCAGTCACCCGTTGGTTACAATTAAGAAAACGCTTAGACAGCATACATTCATCAGCCCGTAAATTTGAAGTGTGGATAGTTCCTTCCTTCACACTTCAATCAGACTTACTTATGGGACTGGGAACGTGTACATGTGTAGAGTTGTAAGATATGTTAATGTACTTTTGGTACTTACATTTGTATACGTAAATAGGCAGCCGAGGCCAACTGCCAGTCTTTTTCCAATGATGCCAGCGAACGAGGTCACCTGTTGTCTCTTGCGGACGTGAAAGAAACCACGTTACTGAGCTTGATCATGGATGAGGCACAGCAGGGCGGTACGTGGGTGGGGTTAGCGCAACAGGAGGATAATAACAACATGATGGTAAGAAATGGATTAACTTTAAATGAAATCAGAAGGTCCATGATGGTAATATTTTCGTGATTAGTAAAGGTAAGTTAACATTTATTCAGGATATAAGATTGTTATTTGCAAGTTTCCTTTTTCCCTTCCAGACGTGGTCAAATGGGTTGCCGATAGATCTTTTTAGTGTCATCGAAAACGAACTGCTTGACTTCAGTAGAGGAGGAGGTTGCACTCAAGCAACCATAGAAGAGAAACAGCCCACATTGCGGACCACAAGCTGTAACACCATGCTACCATACGCGTGCGAACTCAGTGACTGCCCAGGAGGATGGACGTCTTACGCCGGTAGCTGCTTCAAGCACTTCGACAAGAAGAAATCGTGGAGTGAGGCCGAAGACTTCTGTCAGGGACACCGGAAGGATGAGGTCAAGGGTCATCTGGTGTCCATAGCGACTGACGACGAGAACAGGTATCGCAGATTTTTGTTTGGTATTGAATAGCTAACGTGAAGGCCACGTAGTGCATGATTAAAGAGATACGACGTGTATTTCGAAGTAGTGGGTGACGGTTTGCATTCAGATTCGTTGTTACTGTTCGCAACCTTATCCTCGAAATAAATCGAGAGGCCTATAATCTGCCAGGTTGGACAAATTTGGGACTTTTTTCTAAATGCATCAATGAAATCCTAATATGACTCGTCGCAATGCAATAGATTTCACCTTAACATTCATTTTATAGGTTCCTTTCTGAGTGGCAGAAGGCAGCGTCAGGAAATGAAAACCTCGGAGACACATGGATCGGACTCTACGGCATTCCAGGTGGCGACCGGTTTTTCTGGACGGCAGAGCTGGACTTTGCAAACGACGGCCAGGCCGACCTTCAACAGATCTCGCCCAATTACTGTACGGAGATGCACAAAACTGGAGATGGATTGTGGGGCCAAACCTCGGATTGCAACCAAGCCGCGACACACATCTGCAAGCTGAGTCACTGTCCCGTGGGCCTGGTGGCATTCCGAGACCAGTGCCTCTTGTACTTGGGCAGGCCAGATACCGATGCTGATGAGACACCTGGTGGTGAAGGTCACTCGCAGTCTCCACGTAGAAGCCCTAGAAACCGGCGCAGCGCCCCTTTCAACTTCGGCGCTTTGGCCAACAGATTCAGGTTAGGAAGGACCAATCCACAGACTTCGCAGAAGAGTTCGGCAATCACTCGTAAAGTCAGCTTCAGTAATTTGTGGAAAAAGAGGACCAGCAGCAAATCCCCTATCACTCGCACCCTTGGTTCATCAGTTAAGAAATCACCATTTTCGGGTCTGAGCTTTGGGAAAAGTTTCCAAATAACCAGAAGCGGAACTAGTGGCAAGAGGCTCCCATTCACATTCGGCGCTGCCTTCAGAAATTCCGCCAAAAGCAAAAGTGTGAGCACGGGAATCAGCAGCATCACCCAATCACCGCCTAGGCCCCAGCAGGCTCAGTCTTTGCCGGCCCAAGGTGCCCCAGTCCCAGCTCAGAAGGCTCCCGCGCCCGCTCGACCTTCTCCTGTCCCAGTCAAGTCAGCGGCAGCACCATCCCCCGACACCTCTTCCGTCAATCAACCGGTCAGACCCTTTGTCTCGTCCACTAGTCAGACTGCATCTTGTCCAGGTGGGTGGACAAAACAGGGTAGCTCCTGCTACAAGTTCTTTGCCGAAGAGAAATCTTGGGACGATGCCGAGGATCACTGTAAGAATATCGACCTAGGAGATGGCGTTAACTACCAAGCTCATCTGACGACGATAGAAAACGTGCTGGAAAACCTCCTGCTTGGGCTGATGGTAAAAAGTCAGGCAGGCGGCGCTCACACCTGGATCGGCAAGAAAAAGATGGGCGAGCAAAACAGCTGGATAGTCAATGAAGGGACCGACTTCAACGCCAATTTGGTTCAATCACAACGGGATGGTGCACCGGATGGTTGTGCATTTATTAACCACAAGGCAGAATGGGGACACACAGAGTGTTCGGCGAGATTGCGATTCCTCTGCAAGTTTAAGAAAACAGAGAAGTATAAAAAGTCAGTTGAGGTTGTACCGGAGTCACGAAATGTAGCGTCATCAGCATTGGATTCAGCGCTAACCTCAGAATTACCTGCAAGAAGTACCGGCCAGAAGTATTGCTTCCCAACCTGGAAAGAGCACAGTGGATTCTGCTATCACTTCTCCGTGGTGGAGTTACCATGGGAAGAAGCGAGAGATATATGCCGCTCCTACTTCTTCGGCAACGAAGTCATGGAACAAGCCAACTTGGTCTCAATAACCTCTGCCGAGGAAAACGACTTCTTGATGGCCACCTCTGTCGCGACCAACTCGTTCTGGATCGGCAGGAACGGGAACGCGTGGCTGGATGGCAAGGTCTTGGGTTACCGGGCTTCAGAAATCAATGCAGCGTCTCCCGGGCTGTGTTCGTATGCAGTTAACAAGCGGTGGGGCTACCAGGATTGTGGTCAGAAGCTCCGATATGTCTGCAAAATGCCGATGGCAAAAGTGGAGCGTGTTGTGCGGAAGAGGCGAAGCCTCAAAGAATAGTCTCAAGGCATTTCTCAAATTTCGGCTTCCTTTCGGTTCTGGTTGAGCTTGCATGTTCGTGATTTTTTTTTTCGGGCTAAATCTCCCTTGTCTTATCATGGTCAAAATGTTGGTCTGGTTTGTTTTGCTCGAACACTAAATGTTTGCAGTAGTTGCTGGGGCGAACCGATAGTGAAAGCTGGAGAAACGAAGTTTAAGATACGTTCCTACATGTAGTATCACCACTATATTGTATTGACCCACTATCATGTCGACCCTGCCACAGAAATGTCTGATTCTTGTATTAAAAGGTACCTCTTCAATATTATAATTAATCTGTCCTGTTCAGAGATATTTAAAGCTGTAGTATACTGTACCCAAAATATCTGATATGCCCTTTGAGGGGCCAAAGTGCAAATAGAACAAAAGTGAGTTTTATGATCCGTAGTTTAGCCAAAGTTCGACGTAGGTATAAACCTCTTGAGCAAATTAGCGATAATATAATTATGCTACACGGATGTTTGCTGTTTATTTCGGTATTAAAACAAATCATTATACCTACCTAACTTGGTCATCAAAGATCGTATTTTTAATATTCTAGTAATGGTGTTTACCTTATCGGTTGAATTTATGTCTTTGGTTTCCTAGATGGGTAAAAATTTTACACTTAATTGGGTGGCCAGATATCATTATTTAATCATGGTGATTGGCATCAGTAAAATCAACGAATTTAGAAGAACGATTACCAAACGGTTGTCACACGAACTTGATTCGTCAATATTGTGGCGTTAGTGTGCAGTCATGCATGTTGCCATAATGTTATAGAGTCTCGCCAAGAAAGCAATGGATTTTTGTGTTTACATATTTTTAATTTATATATATATAAAAAATCATGTCTATTCGAGTTTTTTTGTGATTTTTTTATTCAAGACTTTTTGATGAGATGTTTATTTTACTGTCATTAATATGGTGTCTGGCTCCTTTGCCTTTAAGTTCAAATAAATCCAGGGTACACTCAAGATCTTATCAGTTCGTGTCGCATCTCTTCATTTTGACCGTCATTGCTTAGTAAGCCAAAACGGGGCCTATTTGCAAGCACAGGAGGACTTTTGTATCAAGAAAAAAAGTAGTGTTACAAGTCAATCACACGTCGACTGTCGCAAGCATATCAGGCCTAGACGGAAAACAAATATATATATTTGTTTTACAGTTCATATGATTTCATATGGACTTCTGAATGTTCCTACCATTTACGTTGTTGCTATTTTGATCGAAAAGGAATTAAGTTTTTAATCTGAAGAACTATGGCAGTGGAATATTCGCAAAGTGTCCTTTTAGAGTTGACAAATAAATTACGGGGCTCTTTTACAAAATCTGCTTTATAATAAACCAGGTCTAGAAGTGGGCCTTTTTTCATTTCGTTTAAGGAAAAGAACAACGCTAACTTTCTTGTAAACGCGATATACTTGAAGATGGTTATTCTTACAAGTACGGTCTCACAATTCAACAGAGCGCAGACTGAGGCCGCGTCCGAAAAGGGACTTCCAGCGCTACGGCTAGGTCTATTGTCTGTACGCATTTACAATGGATTGAAGACCTAGACCCAGCTCTAGACAAGAGTTTCGGATGCAGCCTGATTAGGGGTGCACTGAACGAATTCAAGCTCCATTGAAAATAG